AGTCACTGTCTTTGGCCAACAAACATATCCTCATGGGTGGGAGCTGTTTCCAGCTACTCTGGAGATAAAGGTTGAAATTTAATAAAGAAAGAGCCGATGACATCAGCTGCAAAGTATGGTTGGTCCTGTGCTTTTCTATCGGCTATTTAGACACAGGTTTTTGCACTGAACACAGAGATTTCTCTGTAAACAGGATAAGATAAATTCAGGAACAGAAAGAAGTAGCTGGCTTCTCATTTGTTACTGGGTTGAGATCTATAAATTATGAACAGTGTTTATTTGAGGACCAAGATCCACTGAACTTCTGACCATTTCTTAATTGATAATCATCTTAGGATAAATTCTGAAACTTCAGTTATCATCCAAAACACAAAACCAAACCAGCTGCCGCAGAGTCGATTCCACCTCGTAGCAGTCCCATTCACGGCAGAGTGTAACTCTGTTCCGTAGGGTTATTGTGGCTGTGAGCTTTTGGAAGCAGGTTGCCAGGCCTTTCTTCTGATGTACCTCAGGGTGAGTTCAAATCACCAACCATTCAGTCAATACCCTTGTGCTTAACCATCTATGCCACCAAGGGTCTCCTAAGTTATCATCAGTTCTTGTTCACATCATTATATAGAGAAAAGGCATGCCCAGTCAGGAGGTATAAGAAAGCCAGCACCCAGGAAGTAAGGGAAATATACTTTTCGTTGCTGATTTGTAAACCATAAAAAGATCTTTTCCTTCCGAATGCCCAGTCAGGGACTGTGTGCCTGTTGGCGTTTAGGCCCAGCCCAAGCATCGATTCAGTCCAGCAAAAACAGAGGGTTCAAAGGAAACTCTGAGCCTCCTTAAAGTCTCTGCAGAGCCCTGGAGAGACCCGCCCACAGACAGAGAGCTGTCGTCTGAGGCCAGGTGACAAACAAGGTTCTGGAGCGTGAGCATGGTGTCTAATAGAAAGATGGCAGTCATGCCTACAGCACCTAAGTACTGACCGTTCAGCCAAAGCACTGTTTATTAACAAAAATCTGTTGTTCTTTGCTACAAGAAGAGAGAAAAGGGGGAGCAAAACAAATATGGACTTTTCAGCAGTAAAATAAAACTACTCAAAGAGCAGTTTATCGACAAGAGTCAAGCACAGGGATCAAGAGCCGGACAACTCCACGGTCATGTCCTCAGCATGGTAAGTCCTGGTCCACGAGGCCCTCACTACAGATGGTTGATCAAGGGCACCCCGTGAGAGGGCAGCTCCTGGTGCAACTGCCGGAAGTGCATCGCACAGCGGTTTCTCTCCTGGGTCCTCCCCAGCGTGTGGTACAGCCTGGCCTGGAAGTACACTACGTCTCTGATCTGCTCTTTGCAGTCGACCTTTGTGAAGTAACTCTTGGCTTCACTGAGGTTCTCGATGGCGGCCTCCAGAGCTGATGAGAGTGGGGAGAGAACACCACACACATTTAACTCAACACTTCATGTACGGTTTGCAAACTGGCCATTGGGTTTCCTTTACCTTGCACTAGGTACTTTTCTGTTCCACTCTCTCGGAGAGAAAACTTACACATGTAGGTGAGATGTTTAAAATGGTCTTCAGTCCTCATTTCTAATCTGGAACCCAGCTCTACAGGTTAAAATAACCATTCATTTACCATCTGCCCTCCTTCCACACATGTCTGCGAGAGCACTGTAAATGCTGCCTGAGATTTTACTATGTATGCATTTGTAAAAATTCCAGACCTAAATACTGTCCCATATTTAATGGGCCCTAAATTTTATGAGTTTTCTAGAGTGGTACTTCCTAACAACATGTGTATGGCTGCCTACCTTCTGCTTTCTTTGGTGGGTCGTAGGATGCTGCGGAGGCCACCTGGCATTTGGCCACCAAGAACATGGCACGGCCTTTGTCCAGGACGGCCCCGTCAGCCAAGATGGGCTCAATGGCCATGTGGAGAAGACTCAAGGCTTGTTCTGGGATTCCAAGGATGAGCTGAAAAAGAAACATCGTAGACATCCACAAGGTATGCACCCACTGCCCACAAGGAGGAAGGCTTTTGTGACGACTGTCCTCCCCTGAGCAGCCATCTCTGATTGATCGTCTCCCTAAGGCCCTGCACCACACCCCCAGAAAACAGGGCCTATGACACCTGTGGGGGGAGGAAAGGGGATGTGGCTATTCTCACTATGGAAAGGTTTTTGTCTTTACACAAAGATCCAGCATCCATATCCTTGAGATTAGTGATTCCCAAGAATCCAATTAGTTGTATAAAATCACCAGCAGAAGGACAGCCACTAAGAAAATAACTCAGGTATACAGTAAAAAGGAGCGCAGGTGGCACTGTATGGATCGCTAACCACAAGGTCAGCAGTTCAAACCCACCAGCCACTCCAAGGGAGGAAAATGAGGCTTTCTGCTCCTATAAAAATTTACCGTCTCAGAAACACTATACAAGGTTACTCTGCATCAGAACTGACTCAATGGCACTTAACAACAAATATGTTGTTGTTATTAAGTGCCGTGGAGTCGGTTCCGACCCATAGCGACCCTGAACAGGGTTTCCGAGGCTGTAAATCTTTACGGGAGCAGAAAACTTCATCTTTCTCCTGTGGAGCAGCTGGTAGTTTCGAACTGCTGACCTTGCGGTTCGCAGCCCAATTCGTAACCACTACGCTACCAGAGCTCCTTAACAACAAATATAGTAAACAACAAAAAAGTATACAGTACAACAAATGACAAGGGAATCAAAATAATACACTAAAAGATATCTAGAACATAAAAGAAGGCAATAATGGAGGAATTGACAAACAAGGAAGATCTAAGACCTACAGAAAACAGAACGCAAACAGGCACAGGTCCTTCCTTATCAACAATTCCTTAAACGTAAATGGATTAATGAAATGAAAGGCAGAGAGTGGTAGAAAGAATTACAAAAAAACTCCATCTAATTCTATGCTGTCTATCAGTGACTGGTTCTCTTGGAGAATGAACAGATTCTTCAAGAAACAGTACTAAGGCACCTTGATATCCACGTGCAAAAGAATTACTTTGGATTCTCTACCTCATGCCATACACAAAATGAAATCAAAACGGACAAAAGACCTAATGTACTAGCTAAAACTAGTATACACTTACAAGGTATCAGAGATGTAAATCTTTATGATCTTGGATTATGAACAGTTTCTTAAATATGACACCAAGGGCACAAGCAACAATAGAAAAAAATTAATTGTTGTTGTTGTTAGGTGCCATCAAGTTGGTACCAACTCATAGCAACCTTATGCACAGCAGAACAAAACATTTTTTTATCAAAATTAAGTTTTGCTCATCAGAAGACACTATTGTTCTTGTTAAGTACCATCTGAGTCGGTTCTGACTCTTAGCAACACTGTATAGCATTTCTGAGGAGCGGCTGGTGAGTTTGAACTGCCACCCTTGTGGTTCAAACTGACATTTCAATCATGTGCTTACCACTACGGTGCCACACCATGACTACAAAAGACACTAAAGCGAATTTAAAATAAAAACCCACAGAATGAGAGAATATATTTGCAAATAATGTATCTAGTATCCAGAATATATAAAGAACTCAACAACAGAATGTATAAAGAACTCAACAACAAAAAGACACAATAAAAAATAAAATTTTTAAAGGGCAAAGTACCTAAATAGATATGTCCTCAAAGAAGGTAGATAAAGCACATGAAAAGATTTCCTTCTCCAGTGACTGGTCCCTCCTAACAATATGTCCAAAGTATGTGAGACAAAGTTTGGCCATCCTGGCCTCCAAGGAGCACTCTGGCTGCACTTCTTCCAAAACAGATCTATTGGTTCTTTTGGTAGCCCATGACACTTTCAATATTCCCCTCCAACACCGTAACTCAAAAGCATCAATTCTTCTACCATCTTCCTTATTCACTGTCTAGCTATCGCATGCATACAAGGTTATTAAAAATACCATAGCTTGGGTCAGGCGCACCTAGTCCTCAAGCTGACATCTTTGCTCTTCAACAGTTTTAAAAGGTCTTGTGCAGCAGATTTGCCTAATGCAATATGTCGTTTGATTTCTTGACTGCTGCTTCCATGAGTGTTGATAGTTGATCCAAGAAGAATGAAGTCCTTGACAACTTCAATCTTTTCTCCGTTGATAAGAATGTTGTTTATTGGTCCAGTGGTGAGGATTTTTGTTTTCTTTACATTGAGACGCAATCCATACAGAAGGCTGTGCTCTTTGATCTTCATCAGTAAATATTTTAAGCCCTCTTCACTTTCAGCAATCAAGGTTATATTATCTGCATATCACAGGTTGTTAATGAGTCTTCCTCCAATCCTGATGCCACGTTTTTCTTCATAGAACCCAGCTTCTCAGATTATTTGCTCAGCATACAAGTTGAATAAATATGGTGAAAGAATACAACCCTGTCTCACACCTTTCCCAATTTTAAAACATTCAGTGTTCCCATGTTCTATTTGAACAACTGCTTCTTGGTCCAGGTACAGATTCCTCATGAGCATACTTATACTTCACAATATTGTCCATAGCTTGTCATGATCCACACAATCAAAAGCCTTTGTGTAGTCAATAAAGCACAGGTAAACATCCTTCTGATATTCTCTGCTTTCAGCCAAGATCCATCACACATCAGCAATGATATCCCTCGTTCCATGGCCTCTTTTGAATCCGGCTTGAACCTCTGGAAGTTCTCTGTTAATGTATGCCTACAGCCGTTTCTGTGTTACCTGTAGTAAAACTTGACTCGCATGGGATATCAAAGAGATTGTCCAGTGATTTCTGCATTCTGTTGGGTCACCTCTCTTTGGAATGGGAACAAATATGGATCTCTTCCAATCAGTTGGCCATAGAGTTGTCTTCCAAATTTCTTGGCATAGATGAGTGAGTGCATCCTGTGCCGCCTCACTTTCTTGAAAGATTTCAATTTTTATCCCATCAATTCCTGGTGCCTTGTTCTTTGCCAATTCCTTCAATGCACCTTGGACTTCCTCCTTTACTATTGTTGGCTCTTGATCATATGCCACCTCTTGAAATGGCTGAACATCAACCATTTCCTTTTAATCATGAGAGAAATGCAAATTAAAACCACAACTATTTTCATTTCTGATGGGGAGGCTGATGCCCTTTTTGGAGTCCTGATATAGCATTGTGGGTTAATGAGCAGGACTGCAAGGTCAATCTTAACCACAAGGTTGACGGTTCAACCTCACCAGATGCTCCTTGGAAACCCTATAATCAGGGTCACTATGCTTTGGTAGTGTAGTGGTTACAAATCGGGCTGCTAACCTCAGGGTTAGCAGTTCAAAACTACCAGCTGTTTCACGGGAGAAACATGAGGGTTTCAGCTCCCATAAAGATTTACACCCTCGGAAACCCTGTACAGGGTCACTGTGAGTTGGAACTGACTCCACGGCACGTAACCACCACCACCATGAGTCAACAATGACTAATGGCAAGAGAAAGATAAGGCTGTCTGCTCCCACAAAAAATTTAAAGCCTCGGAAACTCTATAAAGGATCGCTGTGAGTAGAAACTGACTCCACGGCACTTAATAATGACTAATGACACTGAGTATCTTTTCCTGTGCTTTTTATCCATTTATATGTGTTCTTCGGAGAACCATTTAAAAAAAAATCGCTTCACATTCATTCCTACCCAGTACCCTTGCCATCAAGTGTATTCTGACGTACAGTGAGCCTACAGGGCAGGGCAGAGCAGAACTGCCCCACTGCAGACCTTTACAGAAGCCGGCAGCCATAGCTTTCTCCTATGGAGCAGCTGGTGGGTTCAAACCACCAATCTTTTGGTTAACACTTGAGTGCTTTAACTACTATATCACCAAGGTTCCTTTCACACCCATTAGAGTGGCTACTATCAAAATGACCGAAATTAACAAGTGTTGGCAGGGAAGTGGAGAAATTGGAACCTTCATGCATTGCTGGTGGGAACATAAGACGGTGCAGCCATTGTGGAAAACAGTTTGGCAGTTCCTCAAAAAGTTAAAACATAAAAACGTCATTATTGTTGTTGTTAAGTGCCATTGAGTTGGTTCCAACGCACAGCCACCCTGTGTAGGCTTTTAAATCTTTGCTGAAGTAAAATGCTTCATCTTTTGGCTCAAGCCACAGACCTTATGGTTAGCTATCCAGTCCTTACTCTATGGACCTACCATGCTCCCCTAAAAATATCATATGAACCAACAATTCCCACCCAGGAGCATATTTTAACAAAACAACAATTTGTACATAAATGTTCATAAAAGCATAATTTGTAATTACTAAAAAGTAGAAACAACTCTAATGTCCATCAACTGGTGACCAGACAACCAGAGTGATTTATTGTTTACATCATCAGACAAGATGAGCTTCTGACACCTGCTACCACATGGACCAACCTTGAAGACATATGTTATGGGAAAAGAGCCACACACAAAAGGCCTCACACTGTCTGATTCCATTCATATGAAATGTCCAGAATAGGCAAATCCATAGAGACAGAGCCGGGAGGAGGGAGGAAGGAGAAATGACTGTTGGAAAGCATAATATTTCTCTGAGTGGAGATGACAATATTCTGGAATTACTTAGGGTGATGATTGCCCAGCACTGTTCAGCATACACTTTATTTATTTTTTTTCTTTTTTTATCTGATGTTTTCTAGTATAAAGTTAATAGTACATTTTAAATTTAAATTGTACTGACTAACCACTCTCATCAGGGCCAAAATAAATGTACCATGATTGACTTGGGGGTGGCAGTGGGAAGAAAGAAAGTAAAATTCCTAAAAAAAAAAAAAAAAAAACAGTCCTCCTGGACTGGGTAAGTCAGGAAGATTCCCACTGCACTGAGATATCCTTCCTTGAAGACCGGACACTAACCCCTGGGGTCACCTTGCAGTTAAATAACAGATTGGGTCAAAAAACAGTGAACCCATAAATGCTGTGCCCTTTAAAAAGTCACTTCTGAGACCAGCCAACAGATCTTGATAACAAAAACGAGACCAGAAGGGGGCAGGGACACTAGATACATGGAAACAGGACAACCAGACTGGAAAAAATGTTCACGCAATGTGAAGACTGTAACCAACGTCACTGCACAATTATGGTGAGTGGGAGCCTAAACATCTATACAAATCATAACTGAAAACACTGAAATAGTATTTTAAAACAATTCTGAATTGTATACTTTAAAATGGTGAATGTCATGGTCTATGAATTTTATTTCAATTGAAAAAAAAAAATCACAAAAAACCTTGGGACACAGTAAAGAAACCAGACTCCTGGGTGCCACCCCTGGAGGTCCAAGCAGCAGTTCTGAGGTCTGGCCAGGTAGATATGCATATATTTTAACAACACAATGATTTTTCACATTTTTCCATGAACTCATGACTTCCTCATTTCCTTCTTCATCCCCTTGTTAAAACAAACACAGGTCTGGGCCACCTAATAATCATTGTGATCTAAGTATCTAGACACACAATTTGGTAAGCAAGTGCACAAGTTCAAAACATCATAGACTTCCTACAAGGGGGTTTGAAAAAGTCTATGGAAAAATTCCATTTTCTTTTACTTCCATTTTTCTATGAACTTTGTGAAGTTCTCTCGTATAGGGTTTGTCAGTGGAGACTGCGATTCCAGGCTGCAATATTTACAAGGGAGTTCTTACTGTTACATTTCTCCAACCCCAAAAGCAGTAAATACATTAACTGGTTTTTGAGTATCAATTTGTTGTTGCTGTTAAGTGCCACTGAGTCGGTTCCAATTCATGGCAATCCTGCATAGAGTTTCTGAGGAGCACGTGATGGAATTGTACTGCCGACCTTCAGTTAGCAGTCTTACAGCACCACACCAGAACCCCAACAGGTGCTATGAAAATAGAGATGGCCTTACCTGGGCGAAAGCCAGGTTCAGCACTGTTTCCGAGGCCAAGGACTGCAGCCGGTACTCCTTGGAGAGGGCCAAAGCCTGTAGGAGCACGGGCAGCGCAATGGTGGGGGATGAGGAACGCCAGTACAGCTCAGCCACCGAGAGTAGGACGCTGACCACAGAGAGGGAAAGTGGTGAAATATCCCGCGCACACTCACAGCAACCAGAGAAACACAGGCGCACACTCACCGGATCACCATCTCTGTGTTCTTCATCTTCTGACAGTGGGCCAACAGCTTCTGGAGGAGCTTGTGTGCCTGAGACATTTGGTTCTGAGCTTGCAGCACGACAGCTTTTCTGCAACAGGAATAACACAGACACAGGAAGTTATGTGGACGCTTTGTCAGTGTAAGAATTCCTGCTCATTTCAGGATGGCTATTGTTGTTAGGGAGTCCTGGTGTGGCGC